CTGTCATTTCAAATTTCTCTGTGTTGGCAACGTGGACGCCTTTCGTGTATTTTAGGCATCGAAGAGCTTCATGAGCCTTAATTTTTTTTTCTCATTTTGCAAAAATATTGAAAAAAATGAGTGTAGGTTTCCATTGGTGTTTTATGTGCAACAGAGAGCTGTTATCTGACCCACAGCAATTTGCATAATTTTTCTCCTTTCATTTGTCAGCCACCATTGACCTTAGGATTTTTTAGCAAATGGCTTTTGTTGGTTTGCCTTCACTCTGGGCAGAGCTCCCCAGGACCCTGCTGTGAGGCTGGAGGCTGCAGGCCTCACTGAATGGCAGCAACCTGGCTACTTGGCATGGATCACCATAGTATTTTTTCCCTCTATTAGATGTAAAAAAATCAATGAATGCCTTTAGACTTCTACCAGAAAATAAAGCATCACATTTTTAAAATAAATTTCATTTAGAGAAAATAAGAAAGAAATGTTCATTTCTATGGATTACTGTAGTTCCACTATGTAAAATATTTATGGGAAGATTTGTCAAACGGGAAGCACCAGAACAGGCGACTTTTATTATGTTCCACAGAGGTTTCAATTGAGAAGCAGATCGATACCACAGCTAAATCAAAACAGGTTAGTCCTATAACCTCTGGTAATGAGAGTCTCTCTTCTAGGAGAATTTAAAGGCCAATCTGATCACATGTGAAAGGCATTAGCATAGGCACTGAAAGATAGAAGCTCAGTCCCTGAAACATGACCACAAAAATATGCCAATGTATGTAGTGTACAGGAACTCTAAGAAGGAAAAACAGGAGATTAAAAAGGAAACCAGCAGGCTGTCCCAGCGGCCTTCAGTCTTCTCTGACACCTGTCTGGGGGGAGGAGACAGCACCCAGAAAGTGACAGAAGAAAGTGAAGGGGCGGTCTTCCTTTGGAAATGACCTCCAGCTTCCCACCCAACCCTATGTCCTGAGTCCCATTGTTCATCTCATTCTAATGCAGAGCTGATAATCAGACCTAATACTTTTTTCTCCATTCTCATCCTTTAGTTCTTATTCTTTTCTTGTTTTTGAAGATTTGTTTTTATTTATTTATGCATACAAGACGAGGTGTGGGCCAGAGGTGGGGTGGGGAGAGGACTCAACAGAGACAGAGCAGGGAGCAGAACAGGCAGATCTGCTGAAATACACTCCTGAGGGCAGCAATGGGAGACAGGAGAGGTCTGCCATGCCATGTGGGTCAGCTCCCTGGCCAGAGATCAAACTCTGGCCATAATGGCTGGTGATAGCTTGATAGTGCTGTGTCTTTAACCTCTGCACCACCAGGAAGACCCTTATTCTTTTTTTTATTTTAATCCTATTTTGAACACTGAGTTTTTAAATTCTGTCTTTTTTTTTTTAATTGATGTGACATTGACTTAACAACAATCTCTATGACTAAGGGAATCAGGCTCACATCCTTAGATGTGTGTTAGCACACCACACTTTCCACAGAGGTACCAAAAGTCATAGTGTGTACCATAGTGTGTTAGGGAAATAGTGTTTTTTCTAAAAATATTAAAAATCAATCTGCCATAAGAGCCAGCAATTCCATGCCTAGGTGTCTACCTGAAGATGCAGGAGTCTACCATGGGAAGGGACATTGCAGGCCTGGTTCACTGCAGCACTCTCAACGACAGCCAGGTTATAGGAAACAACCTAAGTGCCAGAAAACAGATGCCTGGACTAGGAAGATGTGGTATTTACACAGTGGAATACTTTTTTGCTATACAAATTAGAAAAGATGAAACAGGATGGGTGGGAGTGTACGAAGGTAATAAGTCACAGGAGAAAGACACCAAATAATCATGTTGCAATGATTAACATTTGTCAGATGCAACACTTATTTTTCTCTCCTTAGTGAGGGACCATAATTTTTCAGCACCATATATGATTGAGGGGAATAAGCTCATATCCCTTGAATGCATGGCTGCTTTTTTTTTTTTAAGATTTATTTATTTGTGCATACAAAACTGGGGTACAGCCAGAGGTGCGGGAGCGGTGAGAGGATTTACCAGAGACAGAACGGCGAGCAGAACAAGCTGACTGATGAAGTACACTGCTGAGGAGAGCAGCGGGCGCGTCAGGAGAGGTCTGCCACGCCATGTGGGCACCTCCAGGGCAGGTGGGGATCGAACTCTTGCAGAAGTGGCTTTAACTTTCTTAGTGCTGTGCTTTAACCCACTGCGCCACCAGGGAGGGCCCGCACGCCTACTTTTTAATAACCATCAACTGCCCTATTGATGCTTCTAACTGCTTTCTCTCTGTTTTTGTTGTTGTTTCAATGAGAGGGATCAGCTCACCACTGCTTAGCTCTGAATAACCCAGCAGCATTAGCTTGGTCATGAAACACCCCACCCAACCCCTTTTGCTTTATTCCCACTTATTGAACACACACACGTCTCAATCTCGTTTCATACGCAAAGCATGTGTGCCCACCCTACTAGCAGGTGCCTGATGAGATATGGTATGTGACTGTGTCAGTCTCTACACATAGCACGCACATGCTCATCTAGTCTGTCAGGGCCTGACAATAGGAAACATAAGTAGTGACTAGAGTTTCTATTTTTAAAACATGTTCAAAGGGTGTCACAATTAACTTTTCGCACTGAAGTTCTAAGTCCAATATTCTTCTTTAAAATGTGAGTGATGCAGGCCCTCCCTGATGGTGCAGGGAGTTAAAGCACAGCACTACGAAGCTGGCCACAGCCGCTTTAACATGAGTTCGACCCCCAGCCAGGGAGCTGACCCACATGGCGCAGCAGACCTCTCCTGTCTCCCCACTGCTCCTCTCAGCAGTGGATTTAAAAGATCTGCCTGTTCTGCTCCCCACACTGTATCTGGGGAATCCTCTCACTGCCTCTGAACCTCTGGCCTGTACCCCAGTTCTGTATGCATAGTAAGTACATTTTTTTTAAAACTGTGAATGATACCCTGCTCTCTGAGATAGTATATGAAAGCGAGAATATAGGGTAAAACACGTGTATGATGAACTCTCAATAAATATTTTCTTTCTATGTTCTTAACTTTTCTCACATCTCTCATTCTCATAAGACAATGTTGAGCTTGATTGCTTCCTTCTGTTTTGGTTGATGCTAACAAGACTAAGATACTTGGGGTGTACTGGGCCAATCAACCTAATGTCTCCCCCACATCCTCTCACATGATAAATTATGAAAGCATCTATCTCAAGAAATCACTTACATTACTAGTCAATATTTTTATTTTTAAGGAAATGCAAAGGCCAACAGTAATATAATGTATAATGTTTTTCATGGGCCTTTTAAATATTAATAAATTTTTTCATGGTGCTGTTGAGATGGATCAATAATTGTGAAAAACATAGCATCTATTTTCAATTGGATGAAGTCACTTATGAGTTATTTTATCTAACCTTCACTTTTATTTAGTGATTAGCAGAATTGGAGATGCTGACAGTTGTTCATGGAGAATATCTATCATGTAGAAACCAGAACCACAAGTTAGGAATGAATTAAGATAAAACCTGACATCTTGACATAAAATCCTCAGACAGGAGTCTTTTCCTTTCAGCACAATGCCAAGGCTTGAAAACTCATGCACCAATGAGAACAGCCTTATTTAAAGAAAACTGTCCTCAACCCCAGAGCACCCAGGCCCTGAGTAACTGATGTAGGTTATTATTTATATAGCACTTACTGGTAAAGAGGAAACTTAGACAGACCCTTAGACTCCACAAGGCGGGTTTTATTTCCGATGGTCAAGGGGGTGACTCAGAGCGTCGTGATGGTCCAGCTGCCGCTGTGCCAGCATAGGGCGGGTCACCCATCCCAGTGCCAGGGAAGAGCGGCCGGAGGGTAACGTCAGGCACTTCCTTAAGTGACACTCTCTCACCACCGGTGAGTCAGAGGAACATTTAGTGACTTTCTCTTCAATACCTTGAAGATAACATTTGCTTATTCCAAAGCACATATAAAGTGGCACTGGGCAAGGGATGGCCAGAGTTTTGTCTGGAAAGAACCCAAACTATTTTCATAAAGATCTTGTTAATTTTATTCTAACCTACAGACCTAGTTAATTTTTCTGGAAGCCACTCACTTACTGGAGAAAGAAGAAACCTGACTCTTTTTTTAACAAAAAACCAAAAAACAAAAACAAACATTTAATTTAGAGCAATGTTTCTTTTGTCATAGGAATGGTTCATGTAAGAAAGAGCAAGCAGCATGAAAAGCATGCACCAAGACAGAGAAGCTCTCAGCACTATCCATTTAGTTAAATATTTTTCTGTTAGGGCCTCCCTGCTGAGACGCAGCACTATCTCAGCAGAGAAGCTGTCTGCAGCCACTGCAGCACAAGTTGGAACCCTGGCCAGGAAGCTGACCCACCTGGCACAGCAGACCTCTCCTGTCACCCTGCTGCTCCCCTCAGCAGTGGATTTCAGTCAATCTGCCTGCTCTGCTCCCCACTCTGTCTCTGGTGAACCCTCTCACCCTTCCTCCCCCATCTCCGGCTTGTACTTGTACCCCAGTTCTTAAAATATTTTTTTCCACAACAGCATGAAAGCAACATAATTTGAACACCAAGTCTTGGATTAGTTTATAATTTAGCACAGTGTCTACAAATAGTCCAGTTTTAAAGGCCTGAAAGGGTGGCTTCAATTTTACTTTATATTATGAACGTCATTGCCATTAACACCAGGAGTATCATATGCAAAGTCTTAACAAAAAAATAAAATATGTATGATAATTTAGATAGCAAAAAAGGGAACCAATCTGTGTATAGATTTCAAAACCTAGATTTTGAAATCCAGAGCAGAGCAGTGGGCGTCATTTTCTCCCAAGTATGGGAAGTCAGGAGTCTCCCCTCCCAAGTGGACAGGTGTTCCTGCAATGTTGTCAGACCAATGGGAGTTTGCGAAGAACTGTTATGGACAGTATAAATATTTCGAGCTGGAGGCATCGTTACCAGCTGATGTTTTCTTTCCCCAGGACCAGCTGCTCTAGCGTGTCCCGGAGCAGAGCCAGACATATTTGAGATTTGGATCTAACTAAAGACCTTAGAGATTCCGGCGCAGCTATGTCGGTGTTAGAAGAAACCCGACCGTTTGCTCAGCAGTTATCCAACGTCTACTTTACGATACTTTCACTTTTCTGCTTTAAACTCTTTGTGAAAATCAGCCTCGCCATCCTCAGTCATTTCTACATCGTGAAAGGCAATCGCAAAGAAGCAGCCCGCATAGCGGCTGAGTTCTACGGAGTAACCCAAGGGCAAGGTATGTTGATCAGGACGCTCTCCTGTGTCCATTGAGTTTAACTAGCCTTTGATCCACAAGCCAAGAAAACATGGACTCTTTGGGTTATGGTTTGCTTCACAGTATTTCGTACATTTCTCTGTCAAGAAAATCTTTGGTAACTCACAACTTCATAAAAGAAAGAAAGAAAGAAAACAACTCTGTTGTGTAAAAATCTGAGTTAAAATTATTGCAAAAACCAATGAATGAAAATGTTCTCTGAAGGAGATTTTTGTATTGGTAAGCATTTTAAAACTTTAAGCCTTTCATTTGCCAAGCCAGGGCTTTAGAGGTTTACTGGTGGCACTTTTCAAAGGTGCCTGAATACTTTATGATTTTTAAACAAATTTCCAGCAATATGTGATCATCGTTATTAAAAAGAAAGTTGAAGGTTTTGTGTTTCACATTTCTGTTTTACCAAGGGAACCACTTGCTTATAAAATTAAGGATGGATTTACAAACATAAACATTCATGACGTGTGCTTTCCTGATGGAATTGTGCTTATTAACTCAATTTATAAATAACTGGTTAGAATAGAATAGAAACATGAATTAGCAAATTCTAATGTGTAGAATTCTAATGCACCAAAAGTAGCTGAGGTATAAAACCAAACGAGAAAGACTAATTTAAACCAAACATATTAAGGTTGTACATTTTTTCAGTTTGCTTGCAGTTAGTTCTATTGGCCCAATATTCTGTGAAATTGGTAGACTCCAATAACGTGATTCTTTTGGTAACGTGATTCTTTTGGTAGATTCCAAGGTCACATTTACATTCCTGATAGTCTTTTCATTAATTTTGGTTTTGAAAATCAGCAGGCAAGTTTGCACATCTTGGAACCCCAGGTATCTTTAAAGTAGCTTGAATTTTCAGAATCAACATTTACAGAAACACATAATTAGGAGACCAGGGAATGGAATTTTTTTCAAGAGCACTAGAGGAGAGAACCTGCCTTCTTCAATCTGTTTCAATCCGTCAAAAAAAGTCATTTTCAAATCTAGGTAATTCTGTGGGTACATGAAATGTGGATTAAAGATAGAGTCTTTTGTGGTATGTCAGGTGGACAGTAAGTGTGCATTTCTCGAGGAAATTGCTCTAATGTAAGGTTAGGCACTGTGTATCATTCAGTGAGGGAAATCGAAAAGCCTATGTATTTCCACAAGGAGGTGACAGCTCAAGGAACAGGCCCGACTACTCCTTTACCCACCGGCTCTGTTTTAGAACACATATAACTATTTAAATGTCACCTACACTGTGACCCAATTGAAAATAAAAAATTCTGTTGGTTAATGGGGTATTTTGTTTATGACACAGGAAACAAACAAAACTAGTTATAAAACAAAGACCATGCTTCCAGACACTAGACCAAGCAGTCACTATGACAGTGAGGTGCTCAATTCTCCTGGGTAGACGACAGCTTATTCCCACAGTCAAATCCTGTCTACAAGTTATGAGAATCGCCACCCATGAGAATGAGAAATGTTGCCTACAAAGAAGAAGCTTTTTTCTTTTTGATGGATTGACAAGGATTTTAGAGGAAGCCATGGATGCTCATTTTTGCTCATATTTACAAATCAAAAGAACTAGTGGGCTCTCACCCTTTAAGCCTGATCTCGGGGTTCTCGTGATGGAAATTTAGAAAGTCAGTAGGCTCTCGCGCCTACCTTTCTGAATCCATGTTAGGTTATGTCAGACCTCCAGGGTTATGTCCCTAAAAGAGAAAAAAAAAAAGCAATGCTCACTCATAGAAAACACTTTCCTGGGACTATAAAATGGGAATGTAAGGTTTTTAAAATGTTTGTTTTGTGTTGTGTTTAATGCTAACTCTACTAATCAAAATCTCCCCTTCCAATATCTTGTATTGTATTAATGAATTAATACTATACTGTATTAATCTACATATTAAATAATAGGATTTTTATAATTATAACTTTCATTCGATGTAAGCACACTTAGTCTCTAATTTTCTTTAGTATTAGATAAAGTACGTCACAAACTTTCTGTTGATCTCCTACATCTAAGAGTTAATTATTCCTTGACCAGGAAATTATTACTTTATCCATTTTAGCACCGCTTTGTAATTTTTTTTTTTTTTTACTATGGTGAAACTTTTAGTTTTGCTTTTATATTTAGAATTTACTCATAAGGCTTAATTATCTTTGTTTGATCTAGCAATTTCCTCCTTCCGAGGAAAGATTATCACCATCATTCCACTTTGAATTAGTCTTCTCCTCTCCACTTTCAAGACTAGGCCAGATTGTCCCCAACATTTTCAATGTGGAGTTGTCAAATTCCATGAAATGTGAGCTGATATGTATATTTTCATGTCTTTCATAATCACAGAAGACCTTGTTGACAAAATCTTGGATGTCCTCGCCGTGAGCAATAATAGTTCAGTGTGAAATAGAAGAACTAGGGCTTCCCAAATACCAATGCAAACCAGTTCACTGTATTAGATAAAGGTAGGTTTGATTTATTGAAAGCACTTTCCATTTAGGCTTTAGACAAAGGTCTGATTTACAACAGGAATGCTGAAAAACTAAATAATAGCTAACATGGTTTCACATTATTTCCTTCATAATCCCTTTGCTACTCCAGTAGTCATTACAACTCTAAATTTTTGATTTTTTTGATAATGAAGCCTTTAATCAACTCCTTCTCCGCCTCCCTGAAGAGACCTATTTGTTACACTTTTCTACAAAACTTTTTTTTTTTTTAACTATCATATAAATGCCCTGGTACCATCTCTGTATATTAGAGGTTTAGTCTATTTTTAAACCTTGCATTAAATTTTGAGATTGACAGTAAGACTAACAGGAATTGAAAAGTGTTTTCAATTCTAATATCAAACAGTGCTGAGTGCAAGAGAAATTGTGGCAAGGATATTGGTTTCATGAAATCACACCCAGAGCCTAGAAAAAGCCAGGAATGTCAAGAGGCAGCTTCTGTCTCCACTAACCACAGTTATTTTGAGTTCTATCTTAATCTCTGAATTAAGTTTAGTTGTTTGACCTAAAAGTGACTAGGGTCAGTTTGTTCTTGAACTTGCTGAAAAACTAAATAATAGCTAACATGGTTTCACATTATTTCCTTCATAATCCCTTTGCTATTCCAGTGGTCATTACAACTCTGAATTTTCGATTTTTTTGGTAATGAAGCCTTTAATCAACTCCTTCCCCGCCTCCCTGAAGAGACCTATTTGTTACACTTTTCTACAAAACTTTTTTTTTTAACTATCATATAAATGCCCTGCTACTAAGAGATCATGAAATCACACCCAGAGCCTAGAAAAAGCCAGGAACGTCAAGAGGCAGCTTCTGTCTCCACTACCCACAGTTATTTTGAGTTCTATCTTAATCTCTGAATTAAGTTTAGTTGTTTGACCTAAAACTGACTAGGGTCATTTTGTTCTTGAACTTGCTAGATATCAAAGAAACACAACTTAAAAAGGCACAACATATTGTTTGCACCTGTAAGCCACTTATACTCTAAGTGAAGAGGTAGAATATCTAGTATATCCTGGTAGGTCACATATCAAATAAGTCTAGAGTGAGACAGCAGTATATGCTGGGCCCTGGATGCTTCTGGACATAGCTCTCTGTAGCCTGGCCTAACTCTTAGGGAATCATACAGACGATACAATACTGGCCATTTGTTCTAAGAGATTATGAAAATCCAGTTCTTTGTTATGAGAATTTTTATATTCTAACTGACATGTGATTTGTCAAAATAGGCCCTTTTTAAAGTTATATTTAACACTTGGCAATACACACACACACATGCTATAGTATGTATATAATTGTGCTTAATAGACAGCTTTTAGCAAATTACTAAATTTTTGTCTTATCATGTACTTAATATTTAAAAGAGAGACCCTTTGGGGAAAATCTATCTCAGAAATTTTTCAAGAACTGCATTTTTATAAATTGAGGAATATCCATGCACGGCTTTTCTAGAGACTACTATGTGGTGAATGTAGTTGAAGAAGATGAGGTAGGGAAAACCAAACACCCTCTTAAATATCAAACAGGACCTTTGTTTCTTAGAATCTCTCTGATTGACTCAATAAGAGTGTTCAATGAGTCTCTGTCACATATTTATTTTAGGCTTTGAATTGCCATGATTATTGAGCACTTTCCAATGATAATGTCTTCCTTTTTATTGCACCATTCTCAAACCCACACATACTGCACCTTTGATGTCTCATAAGTGTCCTCTGAAAAGTAGACGGAAACAGGACTTAAACAGTTTAAAGATTTAGAAGAATTTGCTCAAGCCTAGTGATCTACTTCCACACAGGCCAAACAGAAGCCTGTTCTTCCAAGGTTGCTTCTGACATCACTCAGTCAAAGAGAAAAGGTCTGTGGTGTGTATTAGGAACCGAGCAACATCCTTTCCCCAGGGCTATTTCTAATCATGCTGGGGTGCAGCTCCCCAAGTCTGTAATGGTCCTCGGTAGACACAGGGTCACTCACTGAGCTCTGTGCTTTTTTCTCTGTATGTACATACATGCTCTCCTCAACACATTCAACTCCGGCTATTCCATAAGTCAGACCCTCAGCAACTTGTAAGCTTTGTGAAGACAGAGGTTCATTTAACCCTCAGGGCTTGGAAAGATGTCAAGTCTGAGGCAGGTACTTAATAAATATTCAAAGAAGAAAAGATGAAGGAAGGAGAAAGGTAGGAAGAGAGCGATCCAGGAAGGTCAATTTAAATAAATGGGTTTTATTATTACTTTCAATCAGGACATTGCTTATTAAAATCTTGTATCACTTAATGTTCTGCATGCATATACACTGAATAACTGTTAATAGACCCTGGGAGTTAGTTCCCAAAGAAAAATTAAGACAGAAAAGCAATACTATCCAGAAAATAAATCTATAATCCATGTCCCCCTGTCTCCTTCTTAGACTAATTGTTCCTTCTCCGTGATTCTTTTTAAACACATGAGTTGTTATCAGTTCTTCCTCCAAAGAAAATA